TGAGTCGTATGGTGAGTTTTTATATAAAGACTACCATATGACAGATCCCGACATAACCCTAATAGATCTTTCTTTTTGCTTGTTGCTGCTGAATCAACAATGTTTGCGCAATGGTCAAGCAAATATTGATGGAGATCTAATTCTCAAACTTCCATGGGACATGGACAATGGTAACATTGGAAGTCCAGAAAAGCTTTCTCGTCCCAATGGAAGGGGATCGGCCTTGGTCAACTGGTTGACCAAAAGGTAAAGGGAAAGGCTAAGTCTGTGATTGTCTCGTGTACCATTCCCAAAGAGTCTATATGTTTTTATTGTCATGAGAAGGGACATTGGAAGCGAAGTGCCCTGAATACCTGAAATATTTGAAAGCAAGTAGAGACAAAAATGTTTGACTCGGCTTCAGGTAAGTCCACTATCTAACTTTGTTAAAGTTCCTAATTTTTGATTCTTATTACATGATGTGACTAGGTTGATCTTGATGTTAGCAGGATCGAGCAAAAGGAAGGTTAAAAGAAGAGTGTGTTGAATCTGATCACGAAGATGGATTTCTATCGCATGGTTCGAGGATCGGATTTTTGAGCCACTACTTAAAAGTTCTGATAGATTGCTAAAGAATATGTAATAGCATAGTTTTCATTTAAGATGCATTGTAAGGAATATTTTTCCGCATTTAATAAAGAAATAAAAGTTTTGTTTAGTTTATTTTTATATTATATCCCCTTACAATGGCATTTATGGAAAATTGATGTTGTATGTTTCTAGGCAATATTGGAAATATAAGTTTGATTCTCTCATATGTGGTAGTGTCTGAATTTACCAAATGAGGAAAGGTTCTCATCACCAAGCTTCAGTTAGACAGAAACTTGGAATCATACAAGTTGTATTGTATGATGAATGAGAATTTTCATCTTTGTAAATTGAGACTAATCATTGATCACATGCATATGTGAGTCAATTGAAGGACTAAGGAATTAAGTACATTGGGTGTGTGCTGGTCAAGGTCCACCACAAAGATCAATTCGTCATGATTTACTAAAGATTAGTAAATATGGTTATATTATAAGTTTAAGTATAATTCTGTAACATTGGAAAAGTTTCAATGTATGGAAGAGAACGGATGAGAAGAATCAAATTTGGCAGAAGATAAAAGTTTCTCAATCTGAAAAGATGGAGAGTACTTTAGTATCATGTTTTTATGATTCATTAATGATTATGAAACCATATCACAAATTCATACTCTAAGGACATCTTAGTGCATTGTTATGACTAAGATGAGGGGTCATGAATTGTTGGGAATGGTTAAAATCAAAAAGATGGATCATACATGTTTTTATGATCATCTTAATGCTTATGAAACCATATCACAATTCATACTCTAAGGACATCTTAGTGCATGTTATGACTAGATGAGGGGTCATGAATTGTTGGAATGGTTAAAATCAAGAAGATGGATCATACTTCGTTCCAAAACAACTCTTAGAGTCATAATCCAAGATTGTAACATTGAGTGACATAAGTAAGGTTTAAAACACTTATCAAATGTAGTGTAAAATGTTTTCTACTCCTGTACATTTGAAATTGGTAAGTTGTGATGTCTTGGATAAGACAAAAACCAACTAAGACCAATTGTGTGAAGTGTTTATCTTGATAAGAATCTGCACTATCCCTTGAATATTTGTTTTGTCAAGGAATGGTTCTTGACTAGGGAAACTTATATGTCAAGAGGACAGTGGGAGTCTTTAAAGATCCTGAAAGGATTTCAAGATTTAATCAAGAGTAAAAACCTGATTTTTATCACTAGCACACGACTTAAGGTTTGAAACCTATTAAGTTGACATAATTCTTGTTTCTGTGTCTGTTCCTATTAAGTTGTCTATGCATATGAGTTCTGTTAGTTCTAAACTGTGTGCATAACAGATTGGAAGCATTAGTGGGCCTTGTGCTACCAGATGCCAAGAAATTAAGATTGAACAAGTTCAGTCCATGTAAGGCTGAATTTGTTACTAACCTTGTCTTGTGATTATGGTTTTGACAAATTCACATGGATAGGAACTCATACACCATAAAATCTAAGTGTCATAAGGTTTCTCTCCGATACATGAAAATGATGGTGAGGAAATGCTTTCACTAAGAAGATTTTAAGTAGATAGCAATTGTGATGTTTGCATTCTCAAAGTCGTTAGTGGGAGCGTGTGTGTTAACCGGACACACTAACATGGACTTGTGAGAAATGGCAAAGGTCTAAACAATTAAGACTATGATTAAGGCATCCCTTTTCATAGTTCTGGAAATTGTTTAGACACACATGTGAGCTATCTAAGAAAGGGTGTACGAATCTAAATTTCAGAAGTCCCAGCTGATTTCTGGAAATATGTCAGAGCTAGTGGGAGCATAAGTGTTATGCTGATAATCATCATGTTAGTGGGAGCATGATTATTATGTTAGTGTTACAAGTTAGCAATGTTAATTATAGAAAAACAAAAGTTTCAATTCTAAAGTTGTAGGGGTTGAAAAAGTTGTTTGCTATAATTAAGGGAGAGGAAATTATACTTCATTTCAATCTAAAAGCTTAGATTGAGTTTTAATCGTCTTTAGTCAAGGATATATATATGAATTTTATGTTGGAATGGTTCAACATAAGGAAATTCTATATATATTGCGTTCTCAAATTCGATTATGATACGACATCCCTCTTCATAGTCGATTTTTGAAAACATGGAAAATAAAAAAAATATTGTAGCAAAAGACTGATCCAGTATTAGGTCTTTATGTGAGACATCGTGAATCGTGTCCCATATGCTTCAGGTATAGGATCGGTCACATGTGCTATAGTATTCATCCTTTCTAACTTTCAAATGCTCAGAGCATAACAGGGAAAAGTCTAGAATTGGATAAGACTAAATGATTAAGCAATTGTCGAGAAACTATCTAAGGCTCACCAAAGATTGGTTGCTTGGGACAGTTGGAAGTATAGTGTTAAATTTTGGAAGGGACCATATGGATATTCTGAAAAGAGGTAGCTCTTGTTCAGATATGATAATCAAAATAGGAATATGGAAATTTTCCATATTGGGAGTTGGATATTAAGAATCTATGAGAAAGTTAGAAACTTTTATGCAAGAAGGATGTTCAAAGCAATTACTTTCAATATGAGAGTTCGTTTCCATAGGTTGATCTCCTTTGGAATCCTCTGTAATGACTGATGACAAGGTTTTGGTGACCTTGTGCATAATCATTACGAGAGGATCAGTGCATATAAGTTTAAAATCTAACAGTTTTGTGGTAAATGGTAGGAAGTAGGAATTCTTACATTTACAATAAGGATTTGGGATTGTGAAATGAGCATCATTGGAATCATGTTCAATTGATCTATTTCACAAAGTAAAGATCATAGACAAACATAGTGTGCATACTTGGAGTATGGCATAACTATTGTTTAGAAAAACAAAGTGTACATGCTAGGAGCATGGGACGACTGTTGTTTTTGTTCAAGTATTAAGTTGATTTTTGAAACATTAACAATGAATAATTTGTAATCAATATGGTGATAATTAAAAGGTGGTTTTATTTATATTCAAAAGGGTTCTGAGACCATATTGGATTCGATTATTATTGTGTTTCACTTTGCATGTTTTGACTTCCAGAATAGCTAGGTTATTCGTTCCGAATGACTAAGTTTATTTAAACACTCCATAGTCGTTCATATGTTGGAAGTAGGTATGAATTAAGACTGTCATGAATCGCGTTGTAGATGGCTAAACGTGTTTAGACATAGCAATGGTTGCTACAACATTCATGAGTACTCATAAGTTATGAGTATTGGAATTAACCCACGCTCACTTGTATCACTTCATGGAATTATCTCGAGTGATCGTGAGACGGTAATATCATATAAGTCTTCAACTTAGAGATATGAGTTGTTACTATGAGTTGGTTGTGCATTGATTGCACGTAAACGCATCAGTAACTTGATGTTATAAAACGTGCATTTGTGTATAATTCAACAAGTGTGTAGAAACAAGTATATGAGTCGAAGTTTATCTGTTCCTTCTAGTCCTTGGAGAATTAGAAGCGATATATGGGCCCCTCGATGATTTTGTTTTGACCTATGTATCGGGCCGGTCAGAACCTAATTGATGTGTTCAATTTAGTTCTTGTCAAACAATCGGAAATCGTAAACAAAACTGCTGGACAATAAGTACGACGTTGTTCCATGTATTGTCCGGGTGATATTCATGAGAAACAGAAGGTGTCTAAGTCCATAATTATTTGGTATATACTTGACCCGACCCGGCATGGTCCATTTGGGTTGCACTTCACCCAAACTGTTTATGGATAATTTTATGAGAATTGTTTATACTTACGATTTATTAATATATATAAGTTATAATATATTAATATAAAGTCATGTTATTTAATTAGTTTTAATCTTGAATTAATTATGAATTCATTTAGTGATTAAAGGAAGACTAATTAAATCATGGGCTATTAATTTATATGGTGTGGGCTAATACTCATTTTGTAATGGGCTAAGCTTATATGGAAGTCCATGGATGATCCATGGAGCTTTTAACCCATGGATCCTTGGAAAGGAAAAGACATGGGTTATAGGGTTTCACCCTAACCATGCACCTATATAAACAAGCTCATGTTGCATGAAATACTACCCTAGTGTGGTGTAATAGTGGTGGCCGATTTCTAAGTGTTAGTATACTCTCTCATACATTTTCCAAGTTTGTGGTGATTTGTGATTTCCATTTGAGGCATTCACATTATTGGTGCTTGGGTCTCAAACTCCAAGAAATCAACAATCAACAAAAGGTATGTAATTCATCTAGTCCTTTATGTTTAAAAGTACCCCATGCCATGCTAGATAGGTTTATAAACCTTGGAAATTAATATTTTGCATGTACCTTAGACAAACATAGATCCAAGGTTTATTAGGGTTGCATGTACACTTAGGAAGTGTTAGAATGCTCAAAACCCAACAGGTGGTGCTTCTAATAATCCAAGAAGAAGTATTTGAGTAGCACTTGGACAAGCAATAGCATAGTACCTATGGAAGAGCCTTGCATACGCTCTAAAGCAGGAAGCCCTGCAACAAGATGCTCATCCATGGCTGTTGTTGGAGGAGGAAGTAATAGAGCAGGAACAACAGTTGCAGTTAGAGTAGTGGTTTCATAACGAGCAACTTCATCATCACATACACTTAAAATTACACCTGTGCCATTAGCAACAGCCCACCTTGGTGTAGATGGCATTAACTGTGGATGCCTACCAGATCTACGTGAAGAAGCCATTACTAAACACAAAATTTTACTACTATGTTAATTGTCATTATCCTTCTTTCAAAAGTTTTATAATAAAAAAAAAACTTTTCCACTTACCAAGAGAAGGTGGCTTCAGTTCCCCTGCAGCGTATTTTCCCATAACACCCCCACACCTACATAGGTTAAATAAGTAAGGAAAGGTAATAGTCATGAAAACACACAAAAAGGGTTTTTTTTTATAAATTAAAACAAGCACTTACCAACGAAAGTAGCGCTTCTGATACCTAAAGGGTGTGCAGCAGCAAGCAATAAATCAGTGATCCAAGGAGACAGAGGCCTTAGTGGTTTCCTTTCAGTAGGGTTACTTGTTGATGCTTGGCTACCACTGATACTTCTATCTATTTCACCATGTGGGTGTTCAACTTTGAAAATTGGTCGACTGTAATGTGTTAATATTCGTAAAATCTCTCCACATGCTAATGCCCATTGTTTGTTCATAAACCACATGAGAAGAAATAGAGAGGTGTGAGTATGACTTCAGGTGGCCAAGCCCTATTCACAATAAATAAATAAGTAAATAAATAAAATAATGATCAAACCAAACCATTTGTACATGTTACCTGAAGTTCAACTTTAGCCACCACCTTCCTCCACCAGTCCATTCCGGGGTGATTCTAGAGGTGTGTTTTTAATGCATTTAACCTAGTTGACCAGGAATCCTAAGATGATTATTCGGCTTCACAGGAATTGGGGCCCGATATTCAATCTCAGATGGCTCGCTTTTGAAAACAGACCCAAATTCAGGCAAAGGACTTGACCCTTTACTTACTGTGATTATCCCCTGTTCATCTTTCTCATGAGATGAAGGAGATAATGGACACATGGAATTGGTTGTAGCAACTTGTCCAATACAAGGAGGAAAAGGAGTAGAACGGTGAATCAGTAAAAAGATATCATCATTACATGGTATGTCTTGATCTTCCATGTTCAAAGTGCAAATAATTTGCCCTTCAGTAAGCTGAACAGATTCTATATGTGATACTGATGTTGATGCCACATCATCTTGAACACCTGGAATTACATCAACATTGCATAAATTCAACTTCTGATAGGAACTTCATCCATTGATCTTTCATATTATCCTTCAACCTCTACATCCATGAAAAGAATATCATCTTCATTAGACAAGTTGAGAAGAGAATCTGGTAGATTTGTGTATTCACCCTCATGAAAAGAATACCACTTGAATTTATAAAACCATTAGGTATGTTTCCCAAAAGGGAAACTACTACCCCCGGTGAAGCTTTATTCTCCCTGATGTGATACATACCCTGTGCTCTGCACAACTTGACCAAGAGTTGCAACAACAACCTCACGTTTAGTAGCAGCAGCTCCATCCAATAAAGCTTCGACAACTCTTTGCATAAGTTCAGGGATATATTCTCTCATAGCAAAACAACCCTACACATATACAAGTAAGACTCAACAAATCATACATTTTACACTTAACATAACAAAAAAAATGTAACAATCTCCTACCACTCTAGCAAGATCTCCCATAGTTACAAGAGCATCCACGATAGGAAAGTGTTTTATGTAAAACATTTATATATTTCTAGAATGTAACACATGATTTTTTTAAGAAATTAGTATAGAATGATTACAAAATACAAAACCGCAAGCTACGCTTTATGAGAAGATATGCATCTAACCATAAAGAACCAGAAAGGGTTAGAACGAAATCGAGCAAGAGCATAGGGGTACCTGAAGAGAAGAACATAATCTTGTTCGAGCAAATGATTGGAGGGTTCCGGATGCGAGTCCGATTGTAGTTTTCTATAAGAAAATTATGCTTTCTAATTCCATATTGGAGTGCAGTGCTTCGGCCTTTGAGCGTAACATTCGTGTTTTGGCCCATGTTTCCAGAAATTCAAGTATCCGCTTTTGGGCTTCTATAATTTTAATCAATACGGAAAGCTGCTTAGAACAAAATTGAGAATCAGAAACGAACGAGAATCAAGATTTGCATTCCTATTGAGACTTGAGAGTATAATACAGAATTGGGGCTTTTCTGACAATTTTAACAACGAGTAGGAGATATGGTGGTTCCAGTGGGTAGAAGTAAGTGAGCCTTGATCGATGTCAATGACCGGGGAAGGGGAAGAATCGGTGGCGGCGTCGGAGTGCGAGGAAAGAAGCAAGCAACACTCGATGTAGGGAGGCGGAGGAAGACCAGAGAAGATTTTTGTGGTCAAAGAACACACCCAGAGCTAAAGAGGGGAAACAAGGAGGAGGAAGGCGGGTTTTCTAATTTTGTTGCTTCCTTTTTTCGCTTGTGCTAGTTGCTGAAGAACGCGTTTGTGAAATTATAAAGCAACATTTCTAGACGACACACCTTTAACATAAGCGCCTTCCATATTTTTTTTGTGAGACACTAATTTTAGGGCACGCAAAAATTTGCGTGCTAAATTCTTCAAATTTATAAAGATCTGACATTATTTTTAGGGCACAACCTTTTGCGTATCATTAATCAGTGTGTGTCGTAAAAAGCGTGTCATTAAAGGTCTGTTTTCTAGTAGTGCCTTTTTATTATCAAATGAATATCTAAATCCTTGTCTATACAAACCATGAAAAGAAATGATGCTTCTTGCCATTTCTGGGGAATAGCAACAGTTATTCAAATCTAGTCCTAATCCATTACTAAGCACTAAAGAGTAAACTCCAATCTTGGTGACAGACGACAATCTTCTGTTCCCCATGATCAAGTTTATCTTCACATGCTCCACATCCCTATTTCTTCTTAGGCCCTGCAAATCAGAACAAATGTGAAAACCACATCCTGTACCAAGTACCCAAGAAATAGCATGTGATGAATCATTAAATTGAATAGTGTAAATACATGCGTAGGACGGCTTGATGTTCCCATCCTTGATATCTTGCAAGTACTTCGGGCAGCTTCGTTCTCTAATGCCCTATGTCGTCGGCAGTGATAGCTCGCATCCTTTTGGGCTTGATGTGGGTTGCAACGGACCAGCCTTGGTTCCACTAGAAGAGGTGTCATCACGATACTTTCCCTTATGGTGGGTCTTTGAAGGAGCCTTCCTCTTCTTACCCTTCCATTTCCCAATAACCAAAACTGGGGCAGCAGTAGGAGTTGATGCAATAGATTTATCCTTGAGGTTGCTCTCAGCAGTCCTCAACAACCCTTGAAGCTTTCTCAACATGACCTTCTCTTTGTTCATGTGGTAGGTCATGCGGAACTGGTTGTAGCAAGGAGGTAAGGAGTGAAGAATTATGTCAATCGCCAGCTCCTCATTGAAGTCCACATTTAACTTTTGCAGGCGGTCAACATATCTTTGCATCTTCTGGAGATGAGCAGTGACAGACTCTCCGTTCCTCATCTTGCTAGTGATCATCGAAGTGATGATCTCGTAGCCCTCCTTCCTCGCGCTTTGATGGTACCTATCCATCAAATCTTGATGCATCTCATAGGGATAGAAGTCCTCGTAGGACTTTTGGAGTTCTGTGGTCATGGTAGCGAGCATGATGCAATGGACATTCGTAGCATCACGCTCATGGTTTTCATAAGCAACAATCTCCTCGGGAGTAGCTGTTTCGAAGTTTATCTCCTTCAGCTCCTTGTCGATGACATATTCCTTTTCCTCGTAGCTGGTAACCATCCTTATGTTGCGGATCTAATCATTAATATTATTCCCGTCGAAGATTACCCTCCCACACAAATTCATGAGTGACAATGAGCCGAAGGAGTTCGAGCCTTGAGCGTTGTTTGATATCGACATCTGAAAAGGAAAAGAGACAAAGTTTGATTAGATAGGAATCCCCAATTAAGCAACCAAAGGAGAAATCAGGGCTAGGATCCAACAACCTTATTTACAACTTAAAAGAGGGATGCCGTAATTTAAATTGCAAATAATTTGAAGGTAAGTGAATGACGATTCATTAATTTCCACCATGAAAAACAAAAGGTAATTAAGTTTTAAATGTATTGAAACTCTAGATCTTTGAGATTCATTGAACTTTTCAAGGCATGTTAAATCTGATAGCCTTCAAGTTTGTGACTGGGATACGAGGATCACAAACAAGGTGTGAATAACCATACGAATGTACTTGGTGCCCTCGATGTTATAGTCACCTAATTGATGGGATTTTGAGCATTCTAACACTTCCTAAGTGTACATGCAACACTAATAACCTTGAATCTATGTTTTCTCTATATACATGCAAATTTCTTTTCAAGGTTATTTCCTAACTAGCATGGCATGGGGATTACATAGAACATAAAACTAGTAGAAATACATACCTTGTTGTTGCTTGGATTCCTTCGAGACTTTGTGAGCCTAGCACCCCAAATGTGTGCCTCAAATGCTTCACACAACACCACAAGACTTGAATAACTTGAGAGAATACTTCTAGCACTCAAAATCGGTTATGCCCTCTCTAGTAACACTAGGTCACCATTTTGCTAGCCATGGGGTTCCTTTTATAGTGTTGTCACAATTAGGGTTTACACATGAATTCCCTTAATTGTCATGACTCTTGATTTCTCATGACCCATGGGTTTGTAACTCCCATGGACTATCCATGGAGCTCCATATGGTTATAACCAAACCCATAAACCATGGATCATTAATCCACCATAAAAGAATTGATGATTGTCTTAATCAACCCTATATATTTAATTAGTCTCACTTTGATCACCAAATTAATACTAGATTAATACTTGATCAATACTAATTAAATAATACTATTATTAATATATTAGAACTTATAATATATTAATAATCATAAGTGCCTTATTCTCTCATTTAGTCTATCCAAGTATTGCAATGCCATGCAACCCAAATGGACCATGCGGGTCGGGTCAAGTACATACCAATAAAGTATGGACTTAGACACTATATCCAACAGTCTCCCACTTGGATAAGTCTAATAACTATATTTGCAAATATGACTTCAAAATCCGACTAGCAATCGTAGCTCTTTCAAAGTCTCTCGGAACTGAGATGATGATGATACGCCATTTAATATAAGTGATCATATAATTCTCTGTTCTCATGATATCAGCCGGACAAACACATGGAACATGGTCTTACTTATTGTCCAGCATTTGTTTCTCGATCTCTGATTTGTTTCGACATTGAACTAAATTAAACACATCAATTAGGTTCTAACCGGGCCCGGTACATAGGTCAAAACCAAATTATCGAGGGGCCCAGATATCGCTTCTATTTCTAGAAGGAACAGATAAACTTCGACTTATATGCTTGTACTAACTACTTGTTGAATTATTCACAAAGGCACGTTTTCGAACATCGATGGTTACCAATGCGTTTTCGTGCAATCAATGAATAACCAAACTCATAGTCAATCAACTCATATCTCTAGGTTTGAAGATTTATTGATATTACCGTCTCACGATCACTCGAGATAAATTCCATGAAGAGTGATGCCGGGAGCGGGGTTGGATCCAATACTCAGCCCTTATG